CCCAGCACCCCCAAGTCCCTCTGGGCAGGGCTGCTCTCCATCCTTTCTTCCCCCAGCCTGTATTGATACCGGGGGTTACCCCGACCCAGGTGCAGGACCTTGCACTTGGCCTTGTTGAACCTCATGAGATTCTCACAGGCCCACCTCTCTAGCCTGTCCAGGTCTCTCTGGATGACATCCCATCCTTCTGGTGTGTCAACCGCACCACTCAGCCATTCTGGGATTCGGTGATTCTGCTCACTCAGCTGGCAGATCACCGGCCTTTCGAAGCATGGAATACATATTACGTGGCTTTATAGAAGCGTATGATAAAGTAAGAGCTTTGGGTAACTCGTATATTACTAACAGCAGCGGGAATGATGCAGCCATTACCTGATGAGACCTTTTGCATCACACAGATGAAGACAACACGCAGCTCAGCTCGTTATACTCACAGAGTATGCAGTATATGTGTACATAGTATACATGCACACTATAGATAATGTATATACCAATACAGAATATACTCTGCTTTCATACATACAAACAAGAAGGAAGAACTTGTTGACTTGGAGGGTGCCCAAGCCCTGGCCCAGGCTGCCCAGGGGGGCTGTGGAGTCTCCTTCTCTGGAGATCTTCAACCCCCGCCTGGACGCTGTCCTGTGCCCCCTGCTCTGGGTGAGCCTGCTTGGGCAGGGGGGTGGCACTGGGTGAGCTCCCGAGGGCCCTGCCAACCCCTGCCATGCTGGGATTCTGGGATTCTGTGAAAAAGAAGCTAAGCCACTGACGTGAATCTCTGTGTGAAATCTGTCCCCAGTCCTTCATGAAGCCTCGAAAGGACACAAAACACCTCGCACCACAAAGCCTCTGAACCATCCTTACAGCTCACAGGCCCTTTTGCAATCTAGTAAGCAAACCCAGCTAGCAAGTAGGTGCTACCTCCCCTCTTTGCTCCACTTCCAGGAAGTGACTATGAAACAAAAAAACCCCGACTTGTTGCTGACAGGAGAGAAAATGTAGCCAAGGGGATGACAAACAAACATTTTTAAAAAAATATACTGTAAAGCAGCAAGCAAAGTGCAGTTCGGTTTTACACCTCTAGAAGCTGTGGTTCTTCCTTTGGGGTAGTGACACCTTGTGGCCCCTATCTTGTATAGGCTCTAAAGGACATGTCCCATCCATAAACAGAATAAAGTGTTCAGGGTTCCTGAATGCCAGTATCTTTTTTCTTTTTTAAGGGGTAGAGTGAAGTACATAAATTAACAACTTTGCTATCCCCTTTATGGAGATTTCTCCCATTCTCCCTATTTAGAAAAATGGCAAATTCACTACATCAAATGGAAAAGCCTCAGTCATGGAATGAGTTTGTATCTGATAAACTCATAAAATTCATTTTCACTTCACTGGGGTTGAGAGAGTTCTGATTTATGCTGCCATCAGATCAGAAATCTGTCTTGACTATACAGTTTTCAAAATTAAAGGGCATGCACCATTCCCTTATCTGACTGCTATAATTTTTACGCTCTATTTGAAATTAAAAGTACAAAAGCAAAAGGATACTGGGGACAGAACATCAACCCAGACCCATGTGTATCCTGTGATAAAAATAACTTTGCTATCTTAATAAAGCTAATAACGATTGAAAACTTAACAATGATTTGAAATTTGAATTAATAACCTTAATAACGATTTGAAAAATTAAGTTGCCTTCTAGCGCAGGAATTTTGGTAAGTTCCCAGTTATAGCTGAGCCCATACTGTTTCCTCCCAAGGATCCCATCCTCACTCAGTACTAACAAAACTCTCGTGTCATTCTCTCTTCAATTCCCACTGCACGGCCCCACATTGCCCCCGTAGCACAGAAATGCCTGGCAGCCCCTGCTTCTTAGGTGTCCTGCACAAGTATTTGCACTTGTACTTTACAAAAGACAAGAGAATTTTGTTCATAATACTCACTAATTTGGGGTCCTATTTTGAGCCAAACTCAGTTTAATCTCACCCCTCAGCCTGGACACTAATTTAAGGTCATTACCCTTGGTTCCCTACAGCTAACGAAGAGGCACAGGCTGCCTCCAGAGAGCACTATGTCCCACCTAGTAGCGGTTGCTGCTCACACTGGAAATGTACAATTTGGGTTGGTTGGTTTCTCCTTGGGATATATTTTTAAGAAGATGGTGTTAATTTTTTTCTTCCTGAAGCACTTACACATAAATTTACAGTTGGACTCGATGATCTTAAAGGTCTTTTCCAACCAAATGATTCTACGATTCTATGAAATTATATCAATATGCAGTTATACCTAACATACCTCTAAGTTCTGGTGTGAGGTGTTCACTCATAAGTGATACTTCAGCAAACCACACTTGTCCGTGTTGATGCACAGAGAGGTGTGAGTGTGTGTCCATGTTTAATTCATCGCTTCCTTTCCCAAGTATGAATCATCCCTAACCTGTGAGCCCTCAACACCCCATAGAAATGGCACACGCACGCTGTACCCCAGCTAATCCCATCCTCAGAAACAGCTGCACTGCTCTTAGCGACGTGTACACCTCGTTTTACTTTTACACGGCTACTCCTTTGGTAGCAGTGAGAGGAAGAGAAGCAGAAATTCAGCCAAGAAAATAGGGGTGTAAGCCTCAGACACTCCAAAACAGGATGCCTCCACCACAGACAGTTTAACCTGCTGAGCTGCACTCTGAACTGGAGTAGCTGGGGCATAAGTACATCCTTCCCCCCATCGAGATGGCCAGTGCTAGCCTGTCAAAATCCAAGGAGAGGAGGACAAAAGTTTCATTAGGAAAAGGTCATGCCAGTAGGCACTGACCTGGAGTCAGAGACACGAGTACTATGCCCAGCTCCACCACTGACCCACACACAAAGTTGAGCAGGGCACTTGACCCGCTCTGCCTGCCTCTCCTCTCCCAAGCCTTGTCTGGATATGTGGCAAATGATCTGGGAAGGACCTGCCCTCTACTAGGTTCGTATAGGGCACAACCAGACTCCTCTAGGTGACAGCAGTTAGAATAAAAGTCAGATCTATTCCAAAATACTGATCTGCTGTCCTACATCAACAGTTCACAAACTCATCACTATGAGAGATACTCAGACTGCCGTTTGGGTACAACAGTGCTACAGATCATATAAATGATACAACCCTAGATTACATATGGTTTTAGTCTAGCTTTTGTACCAGCCGTTTTCTTCTCCTAATATTCTGTGTCATCTTTGGAGTCATTCCACAGAATCTGTGGTTCTTTTTTCCACACACAATCAGATCCGCTTAGAAAGTGATGCTCTCAGCAACACATTAACCAAATTCTAAACAAGCTATTCTGCATCATCAAGGAAGACAAAAAGATTACAATATTTACTTCAATGAATCATCATCCCTCTTCCAATCAAAGCCGCACTTGTCTACAAAACTTCTGATCCGATTCCCCCTCTGCTTCCAGCTGACTACGCTACTTCAAGTCAACAACTGCCAGCACTCATTAACTCTTAAGACTGTGCTGTACCAGCATTTGAGATTCTCAGACTAGTGGAAAAAAAGTATGTCCTGAATATACCCTGCAAAGCATGGCATCAAATTCCGGTAATTCTAGTGGTAAGTACCCACAATCAGATTAGGAAGGTATTCTGGATAATACATTGTGTTACAAGCCCTGACTTTTAAAATCCAATTACTGCTGTTCCCAGCAAATAACTAACCCTATTATTCCAGCTCTGGTAGGACAACTCAGCCAGGAAAAAGTTGCAATGCTACAATTGAAGCTCAAGCTTAAGATCCAGAGGGGAAAAAATGAAAAAATCAGTTTTCATTTTTAATGCATGTCCTTAAATCGCTGAGGCTTATAATGCAGTTTACTGCCTGCTGCCAGAGTTCTCCCGAAAGGCTACGCTTTATGGTATATGGGTTAGTTAAAAAGCGAGAAGGTAACTCAGGTGAGAACCTCAGTGTCTGTTATTGCAAACTGTTTTTTCTCATCTTTTCATTCTTATTAAGGCAAAGCTTAAGCATACAGATGCCTAGAAGAGCTCAGAAAGTTTGTACACTGGTCAGTTTTGGAGATGCACTTCTCAGAGGGGACAAATGGGCCCCCTCTGTTTTATCAGGACATTTATCACATCCTTGTGTATAAATTGATACTGCTTGTTACACAGAAATACTAGATAATTAGGTGTGTGCTCATGGGAGGGCACAGGGACAGAAGAGTCTCTCCCTTGTTACTTATCTTGCTTAACCCGGGTGATTCTCTAGCACAGCCTTCTCCAATCTTTCTGTCACTAATTAAACCTGTGTTTAACAGACAGAAAGCACACGTTACACAACTCGGACAGCCAGGGAGGAAGAGCATTACCAGCCGTTGTTAGCTGGGACAGAAGCAGCTCCCTGCAGGGACCTCACTGCTTCAGGGCAGAATAAGCCAGGATTCAGCAGAGTCCTAGAGCAATGCAGCAAAATGGGCCCCACTGTTTCCTTCTCCTGCTCACCAAACCCCCGGAGTTTTCACCCCACTTTTGCTCCTCTGCTGGTTGCATGGTGAGGCCCCAGCACAGAAACTGTTCTTGAACTGCTGGGTAAGTGTTTGTGGTTCCAAGTTAGTCACACCCAGGTGTAGGGATCCTGGTTTATTCTACAGCTTGCCAGACAGAGGAGACCCTTGGCTGATCAGTGCCGGTGCAGCAAGACCACACCATCAGCTGAACAAACACTTAATGGTGAAATCCACTCCCCCAAAGTTCACAAGTTACCACCAGGACTGCCAATTCTCCACTGGAGCAAAATTAAGAACAATGACTCCAGGCTTTGTTGCCAACTTAGCTGTGAATTGCGTAAGCTAGATCTGTCTACAGCAAGGGTACATGAGAGCAAAACCAGCAGCCTTCAGTGCAAGGAAGCATGGTCCTTCTTTAAATATGCTCCACAATCCATCTGTTCTGCCCTCAAGAGTGCACAAAACCTTTTTTGTGTGCTTTAATCAGGACCATGCTTCCTTGTCTTTTTTCCATACACCACATGTAAGTACTGGAAGGATCTCAGGTTAGGTGGGGGGATTTTTTTTTGTTCCATGTTTTGCTAAGCTTGACTCCTTTGCCCCTGATTAAATGCTAATACATCCTAACCACCTAGAAGTTGCAAAATAATACCACAGAATTAACATTTAGTAAATATTACTATTAATGCTTGTGACCTCAAGAAAAAAAAAATTCTAAAGTGTTCCAGTATAAATACTTAACCAGAACACCTACCGTTTTGTACAGCTGGGCTTTCAGGCGGTACGAGTTGTATTCCATTTTTCTCTTCTCCTCCTCTCGCTTCTTCTGCACCTCTGGCAGCTGCTCATAGATCCTTAAGTGTAAATACAAAAAGTCAGAAATAGTGACTTGGAAGGAATTTATTGCTAAAAAAAAAAAAAATCCTCTGTTTTATCTTCACATTCTGTTAAAGGCTACTGGCCAACCACGTCATAGAAAAATTTTTTGGGGGGTTTACTAGTGTCACACAGGGAAAATGTGGAATACACAACGGTTGTGACACTGGAAATTCCCACATCCCAAAACGCCTTTCTCTTATAAGCAGCACCTTCCTAAAAACAGTATTTATAACATTAAAATGACCATACAGCTGATATGATTACCCAGCTGCAAAAGGTAGAGCTTCAATGTCTTCAGTACAGAATAGCCCCATTGCTTTTCTGTACTGGCCACACCAATTGCAAGTAATACATTTATCCATCAATAGCAATAGCTTTATCACAAGAATAACCTGAGTGAAGCTATTTAGGCTTTTTTTTTTTCTCCAAAATTTCCGTATTTTCAACGTTCAGCACTGTTGCCCTGTTTAGGCAAATGCTTTGTCTTCTCCAGTGCTGAATTTCTCCCGTACCAGAGCCAAACAGCAAGGGATGCTTTGAACCGAAGAGAAGGTGACCGGTGCTCAGTACAGAGTCCATGCATTATTCTAGTCTGGTTTACATGTTTGACATCTAAAGGAGAGCCTCGAGGGCTGGGATGGCACCGTATTACTCACACTGCCTTCCCCAAATCTTCCTTTAAGATCATAAAGCTTTAACGAATTTCATGACAGTGGTTGCCAAGAAATACGCAGCTTCAAAAACATTCCGGTTTATGGGAGGTGGAAGTGAACGATGTTCAAAAATTTCAGTCCTGTAATATTTAAAGCAAGGCGGATCTTGCTAGAACTCCTTTCTTAACATGCTGATTTGATAATCAGCAAATAGAAAAAAAACCAAAAGGACTCGTTACAGATAGAATAGTGCATTATACGCTTTTAGAGACTGCTTCATTCTTACGTCAGTATAGGATCTTTGCATAATTACTGTCGGCACTTCAAATATTTTTAAACACATCTATGCCTTCAACCCATACTATCTGGAAGTACTTCAAACACACTCCACTTTGAACACTGCAAAGCAACACAGCCCACCAGCCAGGGGGGGCATCTTTGACACTTGTCTTGGTACTCATTCCGGCAGGAAAGTAAGAAATATTTCAGACCTGCAGGAGAAGTGAGGGAGGCAAACGTGTATCGGTTTGCACCCATTTGCTATTTAGCCAGTACAAGTTAGGCATCACTTACAGGTTTCAAAGAAGGACAAAAAGTTAGCTGGAAAACAAAGTAACAGGAAGCTGTATGGTAATGCGTAAATAAGTAGGCAGAATCAAAAAAGCAAAGATCAAATCTAAATCTCAATACTGAATTTTATCTCCTCTCTAATTCGCCAGCATCAGCTAGGGAGAGCCATACACATTTGCAGCTTCTACAGCCCTCCCACCCCCCAAATGTGTTTACCTGTCCATCAGACTTCACAGTGGAATTGATGAGCAAGCAAATACACATCCAACACCAAAAAAAAAAAAAAAAAAAAAAAAAAGCAACTACACTGCAATAAACTACATTTTTCATCATACCTCCACGTGCTCTCTCTACAGCACAGGTATTCCAAATGTTTAAAGCATTGTTATATGTGCACTTCATATATGAATTAGTTGAATCAAAAATAAGGCACAAATTTATCAAAAGGTGGGTTTTTTTCAAGGATAAAAGCCTCCGTATTCCTTTAAGCATAGTTATTTATTTCTTACATAAAGCTACTTTCATTTGGTGAAATGATACCTCACTTCCTGCACCAGTTACCCAGTCTGTTAATGTTTAAAACTCTACGGCCGCTCTAGTGGCTCACACCCTACATTTCCTCTCCTTTCTGGATCCAGTACTTGCAGTTTGCTGTACTGCTTGGATGGCAGATACTGCAATACTCCAGTTTAGTTAAAGAAATAATTTTTCCAAAGCCATCTTGTTTCTTGGATTTTCTAAATAGGTCCCTCTGATAAGGTGCCTACATCTTGCACTGAAAAAGCCGAGTTATCCCCAACACCCAATTCTTTGACTGCAGATACGATTCATCCATCTTTCCTACCCATTTACTCACGTCACCTATCTACCTGAATAACACTTTTTTTTTTTAACCTTACCGTTTAGATCTTTGAACCATTTCACTCTTTGGAATTGTTCTTCTTTTTTCTTTAATCGGAAAACCTAAATGGAAAATTTTGAGATAAGAGAACTGTGAACAAGTCTACTTCTCACAAAGAATACTATTGCAACAATCTGACTCCTTTTTAAAGTTATGGATTCTTACAGACAATAATGTTAAATAATTAGAATACTTCTATTAAAAATACACACACCCCTAAGTATAGTGTGGAAAGTCATTAATTCCTACAGAACGTAAAGAGCAGAACCATAAAGGTACCTCTGTCGGACAGCATGTGACTTGCATTCCTGTAGCCCTTTCTTTTCTCTGGAGCATTAAATAGCTCTTCTCGTTCAGACTGCAGTACGCTCTGTATCCTCCTTTCCTCCATGACAAGCTTCAGACGCTTCACTCGCTCTCCAGAGCGGGAGATGAAATCAGGGCGATGCACTGCAAGAGCCTCCTGAAGATGGGATGACACAAAACAAAAAGTCTAAAGTGGCCAGACCATCTCCCTGCAGCTGGAAGGGAATCATCAAAATACCTGACACCATTACCAAAGCATGGACAAAAATCCCATTAAAGTAGTACTTGATATAACATACAAAATCTTATATCCTTAATGCTGGGCAGATCCTCAGAGTCCTTGTTTAACAAACTATTTGCCAACAACCAAAATATTAACTGCTAAAAATCCCTGCTAAAATAATTAGCAAAAGGGACACAAACCTCTTCTCAAAAAACCATAGCAAAAAGTTCACGAAGTTGAGCCTGTAAGATATTCTGTAACTTACTACAGTCTCCCTTGTTACAAATCAGTGGGCACATCAACATTAGCAATTTACGTTGGATCAGAAGTGAAATTTCAACAGCGATCTCCTGATATCTCTGTTTGCCACACTTCAATTTCCATCACAGGGCAGTTTCTGAGCAGATGAACAAATGCAACTGAACTTAAAGAAACTTCTGAAGCGCACCTGAATTAGCACTTCCCAATTTACATTTCACTTGCTGTCAATGATCTCTTTCAAAAAATATTTCTGTACATTACCTCTGTATTTTTCCACAGATGTTTAGCATGATCACACCTTATCCGAAGCAGACACCAGAAGTGCATGTGTATGCCTGCACACACACACAGGCTGTTTGCACTGCATGAATTAAAGCCCATTTTAATCACATACTATGTGCACCACACAGGATTATTTCCGCATGGAAGCAAGTATGACTTGACACTACCTCAGCCACATTCCCTCATGTTCCTGAATCCAAATGATTGAAGCCCTAAAATATTAGGTCAAGCCAAATATATTAGCGTATTGGTTATCGTAATCTGGCTTTCCACAAACAGGACTGACAAATTCATTGCTTTTCTTGGGTTTTAGGGGTTTTTTGGTTTTGTTTGTTTGTTTTAAGCAGGAGCAGTCTGTAACATGTTGAATTCTGCTGATTATAAAGGTGAAATAACAACAAAAAACCCAAACCAAAACACAAAGAGAAGGGAGCAAAATGTGTTTCCACAAGATTCAGCGTTACTCACGAAATCCTAGTGAGATCCCAGCAACGTTATAGCACGGCGTGCCTTTACCTGTAGCGAAAGCTTCATGAACGGTCGCAGGGACCTGTTCTCAGCATCTCTTTCTGGAACTGCTGGTTGAATCACGTTGCTGTGCCGCTGCTCTTGCCAGTTCTTCTCCCGGAGAGGTTCCCTCCAAGGCTTTGTGCTGGTCAACGGTTCAAACCAAGAAGGACCAGGACCAGAAAAGGAATTGGTATGGTTTTCTTTCCTAGATTCAGATTTCAAGTCCTCTGCTTGGACAAACCATGAAATTCCTGTTAAAAAGACCACATATGAGAAAAAAGATTTGTAGACAATACATGGGCCTATTTTTCAATCCTACCTATGGCCCTTCACACCCAAGGTCTTAGCTAAATACAATTGGGGGCCTAACACTGCAATAAATGCTTCCTTCAGTTTAATAACGGTGGGAGTCTGGAGCAGACGCCTTTGGCAGTTTCAAAAGAATTGCTTTGACAAGTATCAGAAAACCAGCAAGTCTTTATCAAACAATACTTTTGAAAAGGCACAGAATGGCTTAGTTTGCAGGTTTCTCTCTTTACAGAAAGAATAGTTATTTATCAGCAATTACATATTTCTAAGGAGCATCTCTGCTGTCCTATGCCCTATGGCTTTTTATAGATACTTTTGAAGATCAAATGCTTGACACCTTCCAAATGTTAAATATGTATACAAGAATTGCATTACTCACAGTTTACATACATAATGGCATTTGAATACATCAGCTAGTACTCTGAGCAGATATTCTAAATTTTCTAAATTAAACCAGTATGGGAGAGGATGATTTGTCCCTACAACAACAACAACGATGACTAAGGAAAACATTTTTAAACACTTAATCGTGACATTGTGAAGACTGACAGGAAATTTAAAAAAAAAAAAAAAAAAAAAATCAGGAGGCTACACCATCAGCCCAAAAACGCAACTCTAGCTAAAAGAGGGAGATGAGTCTTATGAGTCTTATTCTTCTGATACGACAATCTTCCCTCAAGTACTCCTGAAAAAATACTTGTTCTTTGAAGCCTCAATACATGAAAGAGTAAGTACAATGTACAGTGCCCAGTTACTGAGAGCTTAACCTTTTATACCCTGAAAATCAAAATTAAGTATCTACATGATTCCCATCTCATTCATCTTTCCTTGCCTTATTCATTGCTTCCTATTTACTACCTTTACTAGCTAGGTTGCATCTAACAGCTTGACTGAAAGCGCCATCACAACAGAGCGCTAGAGAGCTCACTTGACATAGTGGTTTTGTTTAAAATTCATCGATCAAAACCAGAATAAGAACCAACTGTACTAGTGACAGACTACTCTGTGTCCCAGCTAGTCCTCCTCACATATTTTGCTGGTTGCTGTTGACACGTACAGCTTTTTCTGGTCTGCAGAGAAAGTGTATTTTGGACTGACCTTGTGGTAAATGCAGCCTGCTCCTTCTCGTCCTTTTCTCCACGAAAACATTGCCTGGCTGTCCCTTCTGCTTACCCTTGCTTCCTGCTGCCTGATGATCTGTGACCATACCATCTGACTCTCCAAAAATACCATCAACACAGTGCCAGGGTTCCTGTGGCCGTTGATTTGGCTGGCTAGATCTTGGGGTAGGAAAAGTCACACCAACATCTCGAGTGTTTTTCTTAGTTGCACTGTTCACAATCTCCAAGTCTCCTGTAGTTGAAAATGAAGCAGTAACGTCTTGTTCCAGAGCAGCTGGAAGTACTTCAACATCAGCACGCTGTGACATGGATAGCTCACGGGGCGACCCTTAATTTTTACTTTGAAGCTGAAGGATCGCTTGCTTTATGCCACCTTTAGAAGGCAAAATCTTTTATATTCCCACTTCCAATTCAAGGAGAGTTTAGTGATTCGGGATCGTTACTATTTGAGAATCTGAGTAAAGTTAAAGTGGTGTAAAGCAAATACCCCAAGCAAAACAATAAATATATATATGGGAATTAAACTTGAACCAACCATAGTTGGTCCCCCTTGCTGGGGAGCATAGTTGACTCTCTGAAGAGTCAACTTCAAAGCTGCCACTTAAAGACGCAATGGCAGGTCAATCTACAGCTTTGTATTTTGGACCATGGAACTATAGGTTTTCCTGGACCTGTTCGTTTACCCAGCGCGTCCCATCCAAAACGATGTTTTAGCTACAGAAGATTCGTCTGCCCACAGCACCACAGATATTTAACAGAAACACCACCACAGATATTTAACAGAAACATAGAAAAGTGGAAGGTGCCAACGAACATTTAAAGAGTCATAATGCGATCTTGAAAACAAGCCATGAAAATACTTTTCTGATTGAATCCACTTGCACATAAAAAAACCCCAGTAATAAATAAATAATTGATGCATCTGATGAATAAAACAAAGCCATTACTCAATCTGATGATGGGAGGTTGGCGTGTAAATGAAAGCAATGAAGAAACTGATAATTGCCACCAGAAAAACCCAACTGCAGAACTGCACCAGTCCAGGATCAGCTTATGTTTTAAATAGAATATAACATCCAAAATATTACCAAGAAAAATATGAAACACTGCAGTTGCCTTCTGAAATAGCATATGCCTACAAAATACATTCTGTGAGTAGCAGATGCCTTGCAAAGAAAACAATGTATAAAAAAATACAGTTAGTCCACCTTTCCTATTGAAATGGATCAGAAACTTAGGTTAATAAACTTGTAAGTAAATGAGAAAACTGGCTGCTAAAGCAGACCAAGAAAGGAAATGAAATGGCTCATTTTAATTAGAACACAACATCTGTCTCTAAAAGCATTTGAAGTGAATTTGAAGAATGCTGCTTGTGTATACCCATCACCAGAAACACGCAACAGACTTTGGAGAATGGTTTCCAAAGAGATGAAAGGCAGAAGCAAATACAGAAAAGACGAGTCTGGAATTCAACAACTCACCTGCTTGGATACCTTTGTTTAGCATCCGTGTCCGTCGCTTGTTACTAAGAGCAGAGCTTGGCCCCCAAGAACCACTGCTTGCAGAAGCTGAATCCGATGAAAGGGAGATTGCATTCTAGAAAAAAAATATGCCAGAGAACAGAAATTCCTGAAATGCTAACAGAAATGAACAGAACGTGGGTTTTAAACAGCAAAAAAGTTAGCGTTATCACACTTGACTTGTACCACTGCCATTCTATTGTTGTTTAGATATTTATCAGAGGCTGATCAGTGTCGATTGGTATGCCACACAACAGCTAGCCTTGACTTTATCCTCATGCACCAGTGCGCTTTCAGCATCCCATTGTAGTAAGAAAAGCGCATTATTTCTGTAGGCAAGAGCTTGCCTGCAATCAGATTCTATTGCAATTCTGATATTATTCTGCAATAGGCAGATTCTATATGCCTGCAATTCTGTACGGTGCTGAGCTTCCTCCAATTCATTTATCCAAAGTTAACAAGACAACGTGGCCTGTCAGGACAGACTTAGAAATAACCTTTGCTGTGGCAAGATCATTTGTTGGCTGTGCTTTCATGAGAGACTGCAAAGCGTGAAATATTTCTGCTTTGGAAAGAGGGAGAATACACATCCAAACTGAATCCTATATTGCCACCCTCTCAAACCAAAAGCCTTTAAAGGTTGCTGGGTTTGCTGGAGGGACAAACTGTCTTGAAAGGTTAACGCGTTGCTTTGTACATTTACGGTGAACTCCAGTTCTGTACCACGGGCATGAAAGAGCAAAGTCCTTTCAAAACACAGGAAGTTCTCTCACCCTGTGATCTTCATGACAAAGTTCTCCAGGTGGAGAAAATTCAACTCAAAAAGAAGAAATAGAAGACACACAGTAAGATCATGGCTTAGGCAAAGTACTGGTTTCACCTCTTCACCATTCACACAAACAGAAGTTCCAGCTACAGGGATGTAAGCAGCACAACTCTGTTACAATAAATGAATTTAAATTTATGACATGTTGTAACTTTACAGCCTTTTTAAAAAGGCGTACAGGCTGTAAGCGTAACGCACCTAGTCCACAAGCTTTGTGTCTCTATAAAACACAGAGAAGGTTAGCGCTTTATTAACAGCAATTAACTGACAGTGCTTCCCCAGGCTTCAGATCCAACAGTGCAGCACAGACCAATTTCTGCAACGCCGCTGAATTTAATTTTTAATTATGAAACAGATTTATTTTTTTCCTTGATCATAGCAATTAGTATCCTATTAGTAACCCATAACGCCAGCCACGATGGAAATGAACAGAGGCTTCTTTATTACCTTTTTATTGAACCTCTGCTATCACCACTTCACTGCAAAACATAATTTCACTTCAACATTAAAAAGAGGCAATTTTTACTCTCACTGCATACTGGCAAGAACTGTTTTTTAGTTTCATAAAGCTGTTTCAGCTCTAGTAGAGTGCACTAGACAGATGTAGTAGATCTGTATCTTCTTTCAGAGAACAGAAGCAAATTTGAATATGTGCTCAGCAAAAGGGAAGAGTATAAAGTAAGAAATAAAACCCAAGATAACCCATTTGCATGCACATGCATATCAGCCCACAGAAATAAATATAAGCAGCCATTCAGTACTGAATATTGACATGCATATTCCTACTTGGACTAGAATATTCAGCGCAGCGCTTTCAAAGCCCTTCACTAGTTGAGTAGCACAACCTTTAGCTTTGTACCTGCTACCAGATGGCAGCTTGAAGAGCACTTTAGAAATAACAGAAACTGGAATAGATAAAAACCTTCTGGGATGGGTTCAGCATCTATAAATAAAAGAAGCTGTAACCAAGTTTTCTGGAAGCAGAGCTGACAATGGGCTCTCATAAAAAAACCTGAGCTACAAAATGCAGCACTTGCCTGAAAGATTTGCACAGTCGTCTCCCCAGGAGTAGGGCTCCTGCTATAAATAATTATCTGTCCATGGATAATTGCTACTAGGAAAAATAATTAAAAACCTCGATTTCTGTTCAGCCAAGTATCACAGAAGCAACCAAAATTTGTATTTTAAATTAAGTTTGCCATTTTGCCATCAATTTTCTCTCGCTCCTTATTTGAGGCGGGTCATGTGTCTCTTTATATGTATTTTTAAAAAGAGCACTACATCAGCAGCTAAAAGACACTACTTTCTGAAGCCATATGGGTTCAGTGCAACATCAAGCAGCAAGAGCAGTGAGCCTTTATTCTCATATAAGTATGGCTGCAATCAATTATCTCACGGGCGATTTTAACAGGCAAAAACTAGATGTTGTTTTTAAGGTCCAAATAGACATTGAACAATTAGTCTTAGGAACTGAATATGGGATAGATCCATTTCCCAAATACTATGACCATGCAAGAAATGTTGACGCCTAATTTCCCTGTTAGATAGTTGGGATTCTCATTAATAGTCCTAATGTTGCAAGGTTTATGAGAATTTTATTTTATCTCTGAATATTATACATAAAATTACTAATAAAAATATTTTTAAAACCATTCTTAGCCTTGAAAAAGCCTGTTTCTCCCCCAGACGCATTCATTAGCTTACATGATACGCAGACTGAGTTTGAGTTGTTTGTTAAAAAAACCAAAAAACCAACTCACTTCGGTGAAATCTATCAGTAATGATGACACTACCGCTTTCCTCTGGTAATACAAAAAAAAAGAAAGAAATATTTCTCACTTGTTCCTGTACTTTTCAGCATTACTGTATGTTACAGAACACCAAAACTCTGTCATTCCTTACTATAATCACCAAATCCATGCCAGGGCCCCCTTTCGGGAAATAAATTTTCATTTTGCCTCCCAAGGGCAATGGCCAAATTCAACTGAAGTAATCAGAAAGGTTTTCTCCACTTTAAAACAGCTTTACTCCAGACTTTTCACCTAGAATCCTTAAGGCCAAGACTTGTGTCTTTTAATATGCCTAAACTGCCAAATAGAGAAGTTGTAAGAAACTTACAACCAACAGTCAGTAAGACAAAATAATGCCAACATTTAAAATAGACAAACAGTATGAAAATGTAAATAATAATTCCAATTTTTATGAAATGGTATTTAGCATTGCCCAGAGATATTCAGGTAGCAATATGCAGTCAAAATCTACAGCCTCAGCTTACCACCACTGTCTTCAGGATTGCTAAAGCACAGAACCTGCAGGTAACCAGAAATCAGATACAGCAGGATCTTGCATCCCAAGACAAATAAAGAAAAAGAAAAAAGGCAAGTAAGAACAAAGGGAAAGAAAGCACAATTGATGTTTTAAGGTATTTTGATCTTGTTCTTATTCCTGGAAAGGCAAAGAGACTTGTTTGAGCTACTTAGATCAAAGACAGAAGCCTACCATAGAAACATCACTCTGGGAAATTTTAAATGATTCTCCAAATAACAAACTCTAGTGCTGTAGAGCAGTTTAAAAGTTCCTGTAAAGATTAGTTCAAATCGTCTTTTGGACTAACTGACCACATACCTGGATCTCATTCCTTTTCCTGTGTCTCTCAGAAGCAACCTTTGGATATTCTACACCCGCTGTTTTGCCACTTCCCTTGTCCCACTTTTCAGAGCGACTTTTCTGGTGGTTGATGGCACAATAAAGCTGGGAGAGTCTCGGTGACACCTGCACTCTTTCATGGCCAAAAGCCCTGATCAGCCTGGCAGTGTCGATGGTGGAAATGGAACTGCTCACCTCAGTCTGAGTAGCAGTTTCCATCTCTGTTTGAGTCACCGCATCCGATTCTGAGGTGGTGGAACTGATCGTGGTGCCACGATCTCCACTAAGCCTTGTCTCTGAGGAAGTGTCGCTAGGAGTTTCCAAGTACTGCTGGTGCTCCAAAATTTTATTCACGTGGCCGATGATTTTCTCTCCTGACCTACTTTTCCTGAGCTCAACAAAGTTATTTTTATCATGGGTGATATGTGGTCTGTCTTTAACAAGTGTTGCGTTGGGCTCTAAGGTACATTCAGACACGCTCTTTTCTGGCAGTCTTAGTTTCTTCTGCTCTCTTCCCTTAATTTTCTTTTCAGAAACATTCTTTTCAGATGTTGGTATTAGTGTATGCTTAATGGGATTCTGAAGGACCCTGGCCAACCGATCAAGGCGTTCAACAAGGGACAGCTCGCCATTACGCCTAAAAGCTTGGTGCTGGTGTCTCTTCTGGCACTCTAAAAACTTAATCCAGAGTTCATCTAAGCTGCCACTGGAGCGGGTTCTATGTCTTGGTGGTAGGTCTCTCTCCACAGTCTCACTGAGGCGAGTTGTTTGGCTACACAGCAAAGGAGAATTTCTAGCTGCCTTTTGTTCCGTTTCTGTTCTGCAAGGCTGAAGTAGCTCCTTCCCTGACGTTTCATTCCCTGAAGATGTGCTAACGCTTAATTCATTTTCACCATCTTTTTCATGACGAACAGAGGAAACATGTTGATGACGATGTGCTTTTTTCCGATTCTGCAAGACAGCCCTGAAGGAAGGTCTAGCATGTCCAACACCAGAACTGTCTTCCGACAGCTCGCTGTTAGACAGGAAGTAGCTCCCACGCACGGGCATCGGGTGATGAAGGTAGAACCGTGCAGATTTGCAGACCGAATGAGTGGTTTTTACAGACTTCAAATGATCTGCGTCTTCTAGAAGAGAAGAAGATACTTTAAGTTTTTGTTTCTTTACAGGGAAGCAAGTAGCAAACAGCAAATCTTAAACAGGATGATTTTCATCCTGACACTTTCCAATCACTTCAAAGGATTAAAAGCAGGAATCATTGTACCCATTCCTGAAACGCAGCAAACTTAGAAATGAAGTTTCAGCATTATTAAAAGTACATAAATAATATTTTCTATCATGTGCAACACAGAATCCAAGAAAATATTATACCCAACTGAATCTGGAGGAGGAACCTAGATACACCACAGGTAATTACCCAGACCAAAATTTGGACTGCATCTTCATTCATATTTATGGAAACTCACAACAGGCAGCCACTGCCATTTTGTCTCTTTTCAGACAAATGCCCAGGGGAGTACAACCGTCCCCTAAGGCTGTACCAGAACATTATCTCTTGGCTAACTCAGAACAGCACTATACAACAGACAACCGGTACCACTTCCCGCACCGCTCCTAGAACCATCTCTGACGGCACGCCAAGATGTAGCCCTGCTTTGCTTTCAAGCTCAGATGACGCATTTCAGTTCAGAGCAGCAGTGAAATCCCCCCAGAATATGCTACTGTCTGAAATTACAAAGGACTATATGCAGAAATCCAATTATAAACTCATTCGTAGTAGACATACATTAAGTATGCACGCAGCATGTGCTAGCAGGAATATACTACAAAATAATTTTAAAGCCTTTTGTAATACACTGTAAAAAAAAAAAATCAATTATTAAAAAGTAAAAGCGTGTTTCACGTTACATTCTTTGTATAATGGACTGAATTGTATAATGATCCATGAAGGCAGAAAGTAGGAATTATAGACGCTGGTGCCAGGAGGATTTCCCAAGCCCCTCTGCTTACTGCAAGATATTCCATGCCACTTCAGCGAAGTACGTCATTTAAAGATGCCTTATAGAGCAGTCATAGCTTTAATACAAATAAAAAAGTCAATACAAAAAAAGAACAGTCCATTTACTAATGGTAACACCAGTGCCTAGGTAATGCGGAGCTGTCAGCAAATGCCTATCAAGCTCCATTAACGGCAGGGATCACACTCACACGATTTTTTCTCTCTCTCTGCAACATTCCTCTGAAGTTTGGTTTTTTGTTTGTATTTCTGTTTTGTTTTAAACAGTCTCGTTGACATGACCGTGACACTGATGAAAATAGAAGCAGAAAGCAGGTCTTCCTTTCTTCACTGGAGCAAGCTTTGCCACCGATTCAGCAAAAGGGTGGCCAGTCCCACACCCAAGCCTCTCCCTGCCCCAGGAGGAGGATACCTCCCTCCCTCATCAAGAATCACAAGCTATGTTTTTATAAAACCTCATTTCCACATGGGAAAAAAGTGATGCAAGACAAGCTTGGGAAGGGTTACGACTGCATGTATTCATACTGTTAGCACTGCCTCATAAACCTTACTTTTGTTTAGCCACTCGTTTTTCCTTGCATTTTACACATCTCTTCCCAACCCAGACACTTCAGTGTTACGTCAAGATCGTGAACAGCATAACCAGACCCACTCTCACTAACTCCAAAACTGGAGGAATTTGTCTTTCCATACAAGGTCAATGTTTATACGCTCATGTAAGAAGATTCCTCCACATCCTCCTGACAAATGAGATCAGGCTTGGGAATACTATGCAGAATTTGTGCTATTTCTATATTTTTTAAAAAGTTACCAACGAAATGGAAGGAATGCAAACAGGCAAAAAATAAAAATAAGTTTATAGAGAGAAACTTTTTTAAAAAAATACATAACTTGCATAATTTTAAGCTCTAGGCAAGCTCTGTGGGTAGAGGTAATCTTTTATTAGCCCATCTAAAAATATAGTTGAAGAAATCAGAGATTTTAGACATGCAAGTCTCTTCAAGAAAGCTTGCTTAAACTTCCAGCTCTACCAGCTGGTTTAACAAAAAATTATTTCTACCTACAATTTTTTTCTTGCCTGTGCCTTTAGACCATCACAGCTACCAAAAAATACTATTAGATAATTTTATTTTAACACCTGTGTTCCCTTTTCATTTTTATCCAACTTATTCAGAGCCAGGTATCCACTGAGCTCTGCCCCAACACGGTATTTTGTTTGTTACTGAGATTCTTGTTCGGAGAGCTCACTTCTGTACACGCACTCTTTCTTCAGCTCTACTGCCACGACCCAGCATTCTTCTCGTGAGCTACCCGCAGTGAATGAAGAAAAGCATTTTTCTGTCTTACTCCGCTTGTTTCCGTATCCCTGTGTTTTAGAAACGCTCACAGTGAATTATTTCTTCCATTAGAAAAAGTAGGTCAAGACAATATTGTCTTTATTGTTGCACTAATTCAACTATTGGTCCTATGTACACTTACCAAAAAAGAAAAATGAACATAAAATAATGAAGTTCAGTGCATCTTATGCAGCCATTTTAAATTATCTTCTGGAAATACCAAAAATCTCTCCATTCTGAAGAGGAAAACCCCTTCTAAAGTGAAGAATTAAAATCATCAGAAGGAATCCCTATCCATACAGCAACGCAGCTCTGTGGGGTGTCCTTACCCCAGGCATATTGAGCTGCCTGCTTCAAAAGGACAACAATAAACACATTGAGGCACTCCATAAGAATCTGTCTCATTAAATGTCTTCATATAACAAGTTTCCATGATACTAAGAAAAATAAGTGGGCTCCCCAAAACCCTGTATGTGTGACTGCCTAGAATAGAGCAGGAACTCTCTAACTCAGAATCCACTCCACTGTTCGTGTGTTTCAGGTCCCACCCCTCATCAGCAGCCACAATTCTATTACCTCCTTGCAATTTGCTCACTCTTTCTTTAATATAGCACACGTTGCAAAACACTGTACAATGAACAGCTTCCCCTGAGGAATTAATAGCTGCATTTAGGAGAGATGGCAACCACTCGGCAATTTGCTGTTACTTCTGTCCAGGAACAAAATGCAATTCTCAAACACAACAACCACCCTCATCCCTACTTGGACTCAAGGAAGTTTATCAGCCACTCGAATTCACAGAATGAGGTTTTGTACAAAAGGAATGTCCATCAGGACTAATTTTAGCTACTGCCATGAGATACAGCATCAAAATGATCAGTCAGCACAGTGTAATTTCATTTTGTCAGCATTCTCAACAAATAAAGCCTTAAAGTAGGCTACTATTGTAGTAAACCCTGACCTTCATCCCTCAGGAGTACCACCCAACAAGGTTAATGGAGGGGAGGAAGAAAGAGACATCCATCAAATCAAATTAAAATTCAGTTAAATACCAACATTACAGAGATGCTTTACATGACATCACAAGATATCAGTGCAACTATGGGCAGGAACACAACACCAACCCAATAAACAGAGCCATCCCACCTGCTTTTATTTCCTTTTTTTTATTTCCTACACAGGCACCCTTTCTACACTTAAAGAAGACTTTGCACTTCACAAACTTAAGAGTGTCTTAAAAAACCCACAAAAAACCACAAACACAAAAAAAGCCACAAACCAAAAAACCCAACCCCCACCAAACCCCCCCCCAAAAAAAAAAAAAAATCATCTTACAAAGGCACCAGTAAGCACTGGGGCCACCGGAATGCTAGCAAATACTAATGGCCAAGTATTTCTGCTTCCTGATTGCCCAAAGATAGGGAAGAGAAAAATGAGTCAAACACAGCATCTTCAGGCAGACTATCAGCAATACCATGAGACCAGAAATCATGGATCCTGAAACACTTTTGCTCTACTTTAATTCACGCGTTATGAAAACACACGTAAAATTAAACTACCTGGGGAAGCTTCCAGTGGTATCACTTGCTTCTCAGCCCAGGCTAGCTTGGGCTTGGCCCTCTTACTGTAGATTCCTTCTTTATGCTTGATAGCCACACTGTCTGGAGGATTATCATCCCTTAAACCAAGCACATTTGCTGGACATGTGGACATCTTCCTTGGAGGAAGAGCATCGTTTGACCCTGCAGAGAAAGAGAGCGATAACCATGAGTAAAAAGAAAAAATAAGGAAAAATAAGATACAGAAAATTGACAACAAAGACATCTGAAAGAAAGGCTATTATCCAAGTATTAGTACCAGTATATTCAGCAACCAACAGTCATGATCCCTAGCGCGCAGTTCAAGTGACTAGTACAGCAGCAGCGGGTATCGCTCTTTGGTGACAAGGTTCTTCCCTGAGAGGCAGAAAAATTTTACCTATTCTACTAATGAGGAGAGAAGAATACAAGAAAGTGAGCATTAGACAAGTCTGCTAGGAAGCCAGACACAGGACTTGGAATGTCCAGGCTGTCTCCTGCTCACATTAAAATTCCAGACATTTTCACTGACTGATGTATATATCTATTTTCCACGCTCAGAATAGCAATGGAGAAAAACTGGAAGGCTAGAGTAGGTCTGTATAACCTCTAAACAAGAAATCAAGACAACAGCAGCAGAACTCTCTTACTATCCTATCACTGCCTCCTAACATTAGAAAGGTAAAATAGCCCCTAACTGATTTACCACCCTTGTCAACACCACCTGGTTACATTCAGCAGACTCAACTCGATTTCCTTCAGCTACTCCTCGTGAGCTAAGAATCCTAGCTGCAGCAGGGAATTTAAAAAATAAAATTTGTTTTTTAATTGTGCTGTACATTTTCTAGAACCTTCCACTGCCTCACATGCACATTGAATTTTTATATCTAGCATCATAGTTTCTGCAAAACAACAGACTCATATCACATTCGTTTCTCTCGGTTTGACCATATTACAACAGAGAGACTGGAAAAAGGTCAGGCATAAACAATTACACGCACAATTTGCGGCTATAACGACTAACCCGTGCACTTACTGTCACTGCTGTGTTAACCTACTCCCCTGGGGCACGGCTGTCAGGATCAGGGCACCTCTGTAATGTTAGTTTTGTCTACAGGTAACTGGATGTCTGACTGAAAACAACCGCAAATAAGACCTCGAATGCTTAAGTGATGCATGCTTTACATATAGAACTGAAAAATAACAGCAGGCAAAGCAAAAGAGGTTGATGAAGCACAGAGCATCCTTTCTCCAGGCAATGAGAAGTGTTTTTTTACTGGGAGATGGGAGGATGTGGGCAAGAGGTGAATATATATTTTAAACCACAGTTACGAATTACAATGTTTATAGAAAGGCTTTTACACTGGAATCCCCTAACATGGAGGCAAGAAATTCAGTACTGAGAAAGCTATTACCCGAGTTGTGTGCTATATTATGCAGATATTTTAGAATGCAAACATACCAAATTAATAAAAAAAAGGGAAAGAATGTACATAAATAAGGGAACTAAAAAGGACAACTGGCAGAGATATGAGAGAATCCAAACAGAATAGTAATTCCCAGAGGAAAGTAAAGAATTATCAAGCTGTAAAACACTGAGCCTCGTTTCTTTTCACTGCCAGAATGGAGTACTAACATCCCTCTCATCAAAGAAATTGAAACCATAGCCCTCAGTCATGCAGCTTTGTGTTACAAAGTGGCGTGAACACAAAGAAAGACATTTTTCTATCAAAATGAACGCATTTACTCTAGACTGGTAGGACAGAAGAGTTCTGAGCTCAACTGAGACAATTCTGCCTATGAAATAGATATATTCTGATCCATGAACTACAACCATCATTTTACATCTGGAAGACCCAAGATAACTAAGTACCTGAGTGAGAGCTCTCAACACTCGTTTCTGACTCAGCTGGAGAAATTTTGGATCCTGCCTTTAGATAGGGAACATAATACATCCCAGTACTTCCCGAAGGTTTATATGGCAGCAATAAGGGCTGATCTGTGGGGATGGAAGGCAAAGCAATTAACAGGAGTCAGGCTTTAATCCTTTAATGCAACTGAAGATAAAAGCAACAAATCAGGAGCTGAGGAGACTGCTGAAGATGTTCACTGTGGTAAATCCAGAGAAATACCCTATTCTTTAGGGAAAAAAAATTAATTAAATAATTCATAATTGCAATTTAATTTAATTAATACCCGCCCAATGATTAGAAGGTTGGCTGTTGCTTAGCTGAAAAAAACCCAGCTTATTTACCTATTCAGTATTAAATTTGTGACTGGTGTGACGAACACTGACTTAAAAAAAACCCCTCATATAGCCACATCACTCCCAGTTGATCCATGTTTAATGAAATACTTTTAAATAAGCGTGGATATCTGTCTCTCAAGTCAATAAAAGCAGTGTGCTGTCATAACAGAATTCCCGAAAATGTTTGGACCAGCACATTAGCTGGCTTCTAACAGCAAAGAGAAGAGGCGACCAAATAGCTGAAATATTTTTTGCACTCTGATGTAGTGAAAGAATCTGCTCTCTCATCTTATGCCATTTTAAACACCTTGAGAACAGAGATACAAAGCTTGGAGCACAGGAAAAATCATGAAAACTACATGTCTACAGACATAAGCAGTGTTACACACCGCTGTGGGAAACCACTGCGCAACATCCACATTCCTCTGTCAGATTTAAAAGCCCTCCACGTTTTCCATTTTATTCTATCAAAAAATAGGGATGTGCATATTCTTCCCTTAGTTTTTGTACTACCTTGACTAGAGAGTAAATCAGTAATCAGATCCATCTCGTGATAAACTCTACACAGTGAACCAGATCAAATTATCTAGAAACAAATGTCAGAAAATTTTCTTGAACCAGACTTGTACCTAACAAATTCAGTTCCAGATAAACCTGAACTGAATCATAACTGTATTGATACAAATCCCTACCTACAAGACTGCAAAGCCCGAGTTTAAGGGTTGGGGGTTTTTTTCTCCCCATATAAGCGACTTGAAATATCAAAATTATCCCATGAATGTTACTTCCACAAAAAAAGCTGGGTTTGGTTTTTGGTTTTAATACCTATAAATATCTCGAACGTGAATAGATAAAAGTCTACATATGCATATAAGATGCTAATTTGCTCACCACCCTGCCTTGAGAAAGAGGAAATCTTGTTAAGAGATGAAGTTGTGCTGTTGGGGAGTTCACATGCTTTCTGAAGAGGAGACGATTGGCGGGCAGCACTTTCACCATCCTGTGAATTAACACAAATTTCTGCTGAAAAGGTGGTTTTTTCTGGACTCTCTGTTGTTATCTGAGTGGTAGCATCAGAAGTACTTTTCCCAGTTTTTGCAGGAACTACAGAGTTGAAATTATTCTTCAGACTACATCCCCCTGAACCCAGAAGAGTGACTTGCGGTCTCTCACTGCTTTGCAGCGGCAGCTTTTGTCCCGCTGTGCTTGTAACAGAGGAAAGCACTAGGCAGGGATCTGCCAAAGACACTGGCATTGGGAAAGATGAAGATCCTTGGTCTTCTGGAATAAGATCATCAGCTGGTAATTTAGAAACAGGTTCTACCGAAGTTTCTGGAGTTTTTGAAGACACTGGTTGAGTATTAACTTCAGGTTTATCCCCTGATCTCATCTCATTTTCAGTATTCAAGTCACCACGCAGTTGGTGACAAAGGAGATACAGACGTGGTAGATAAAACCTCATCTACAGATGAATGGTGAGACATATTGATTTGCTCTCTCGCAAGCTCTTTCTGAATGAGAGGTGTTTCATCAGAAGGACCTTTCTTCTCTTCTGCCAACAACTTAATATGGGCCTTCAGCAAATCAGTTTCTGCAGCTGGACCTGAACCTTCTAAGCTCTCATGCAATTGGATGTGGCCAGGTGGGCTGCTTTTCTCCTGCTGGTAAGAGCTTATAGAACAGGGTTCATTAAATCTATTAGTTTCTTGGCCGAATCTTACCTCACAGTCAAGCCCCATGAGTCTGGCACTATGCCTGCCTAATTCAGTCACATCTTGAGGCAGAACATCAGAATTTTTTGCACTAAGGGTCTGTCTTCTATCAGCATGGATGCTTACAGGATCCTGATCTGACAAACAGTCTGTCTCTTGATAAGCTCCAACTCTGTTACTGTCAGCAGAGACATGATGAAACCTGTTTTTCTCAGCAGTATGAGCAATCTCGTTAGACACTGAGCCAGCAAGGATTGGACTTGAAGGAGGACAGGCCTTAGATCTTTCCCAGTATTGTTTGTCGTAGCCCTGTCCCACAGTGCTAGCAGAGCCAACCTCCAAAGGCATTATCTCCTCAAGACCAGCCGTAGTGAGACTACCACTGAGCGCCATGGAAGCCAACGGTGACTGCAAGCGTTTTCGGGATGAAAAGGTGATAGAAATTACTTGCTTAGCAGTATCTTCAGAACACTTTTCCATAGACAGCTTCTTCTGAGCTGGTAAATGGACTTCTGTTTGTATATCAGAAGCAGCTGCAGGCCTCATTGCACATGTGTCCCACTCCTTCTGCAATGGTGGATGCAGTCCAACAACGGCATCAGAATGACCAGCTGCAACTGTTTGATGTTGGTTGCAGATAGGTGTTTGAACAATACTCAAAGATTTAAACTGCGCATCCTTCAGCAGGCAACGATCAGAAGGCTCAGCTCTATATAATGGCACAGCTTGGTGTAAGCTTGACTCTCGAAGCTCCTTAGTCCTGATGGCTTCTGTGTGTTTGTCAGTTGGAAATCTTTTGTCACTTGGAGCTTTGAAATGCTCTGCGTCCTGTTCCCCATCACAGCTATACTCAGAAGCAGCTTCCAAACCACATAACCACAGATCCTGAAAAATACAGAAGAATTCACATAGGTTATGTGGATAACTTCCCGCCCTGGCCAAAATCTGGATTGCAGAATTCAAAGACAGACTGGCAGTGTCAGTAATCAAGAGTCTGTCATCATGAACGACCACAGGCTTTCTCTGGAACTCATCCGTTAATGGAACTCATTAAAAATTTGTCTTATTTTAAGTGCCAGCAAATTAGCTAACATCTTTTTGATGCTATAACAAACAGCAGCAGTAACATCTGTAACAGAACCCTTGAGCTTTGTGAACTACGAAGTTGTAACTCCCATAAATAGGCTAAGTTGTAAATACCTCTTCAACATCACTCCACTCACCGGAAAACAAGAATAAAACTTTCTTCCTTTCTAGAAGTTGGCTTCATACACAGCTAGACATTTGTCATAAACCCAGTCTGTAACACACTAGGAATAATAACTCCTTTGAACGATATTCACTAAGTTCAAAGGGAGTTAGAGACACAGACATTGCTAAATCTTTGTGATTTCAGTGATAATTCTGTTAATTAGAAAGACAGCCAATGAGCCACACAAAATCACAGAAACACTTAGGTTGGAAGAGACCTCTGGAAGTCTCTAGTCTGACCTCTCGCTCAAAGCAGGGCTAACTTCAACACTGGAACAGGTTGCTCAGGGCCTTGTCCCACTGAGTTTTGAAAAATCTCCAAGGGTGGAGATCCTGCATACAACTTGACAACTTGTGACCTGTAAATTGCTGATGAAAGGCTTCCCTTCGTAGCTCCATGGAAAAACAAAACAACGCAGAAACCCCCAGGTTTACTTCCAGTTACAAGTACTCAAACCTTAACCAAATACACAACGTTAAGTTCTGGTGACCTCCAAGAAATCCAGTAGCAGACTCACCCTAAAACTCTTCTGGTTTGGACCAGAGTCCAAACAAACTCCACGCTATCAAAGCCCTGTATTTCATGACATTTTAGGGCTACAGGGGTATTTCTGCATCTGACATTTTGCTATGCCATAACTATCACTATATGAAACAGAACTCGATATAAAAGGTTTTCCCTTGCACTTGAGTTGTTTGACTTTAGTGTTTATGAAGCAGAACTAAAATGAAAGGAACTCAGTTACAGGGGAACGAGTGGGAAGAAACAAAAGCTGTTCTTTACAAGGCATGATAAAATATTTAATTAGGAAAGCTTTAATTTTCCGTAACTTGGTATTCCTCTTTTCCCCTAAAACAAGTATGCCAATTTCCCTCTCAGACAAGAGCTGTAATAAATCTTTTTATTTCTATGGTCTCTGCCCACTTCTGACAATAATTTTAAAATGACTGAAAATAATCAGAACTTTGATTTGCTCTTTAAAGTAAATGATAACTTGTAAAAACTTTCCAATTCTCAGGTGCAGATCACTTTCATTCTCCCATCAAAACAGATATGTTTGCCACAAATACTTTTTTTTTTTGGAAAGCCAGTGATAATGCTGCAAAAAAGAGAGGGTATTCCTAGCAACAGATAAGACACTAATCCCACCAAAACCAAGGAAGATCACTGTCCGTTGCCTTTGCTCATAAAATCTTTTTAAAAGTAAGTTACATTTACACCTTTGTCTGACCATGCATCCCACATCTGTACCACCCTCAGTATCAGAGCCACTAGATTTAGGACTCTGCTATTTCACTACAGGTATTCAGGCATCTCTGGCATGTATTTTACACAACAGTATAAAATGCTGTGTCTTAAATTACCTGCCTGTGGTCATTTAGGAAACTGAAACTAATCATTTACTTTAGTACTAACTTCTGTCCTGGTTTCCTTGCCTGGTTTTACTAACCATTCCCATTTTCAGCACGCTCTCCAGACCTCATTGCTTCATCTTCTCCTGTACCTCAAGCCCCATTCCACTGTGGAAAAAAAAAAAAGTCCCAACAGCAACAACCAACAGCAATTTATCACACCAGGTAAATAAAACTGAAGCAAGACATGCTATAGCCCCTCAGCAGAATCAGACCAAAAAGAATCCACGCCCTACTCTCTGAGCATACTCATGAGATGCTGTTGCCTTTCAGCTGCCTGTTAATGAGGCAGATTACTGACACTCCCGTTAACTGGAAAATTCCCAGGGTTACAGCCCCCACGCACTAAGGAACCTACACCTTCTCCTGGCATCTCAAAATGTAACCTGATTTCTTGACACAGACCTTTCTCCAACAAAGCACTAAATACTCTGTACAGAGATAAAAGGTATGAAGGGTTCAGCAAATGGCTCTAGTTACTCGCCAAGCACAGCAGAAATAAATGTGTCTAAATACTCGGAGGAAGTTTGGGTATTTCAAACTCTTCTTTCAGCTCATTACAAACAGCAGATCCTAACGAGGCACATTCATTGTCTGCAGCGATGTACTGAGATCCACAAGGGAGACAAACAAAACGTGATCCTCTGACTGGCTCACCACCCTCATTTCCCTGCGCTCTGCAGCTCCCTGCGCACGTGGAGGGATCAGGAGGTAGGGATGGAGAGGACCTTTGCTTAGAAGGCTTTTCTCATCACCAGCAGAAGCTCCCAAATGCTGACAGCTGATCTTTGCAGCAACTCACCTGACTGGTGTAAGGAGAAGGTAGTTTGGAAGAAAAGAAATGCAAATACCTCTAGATTAAAGAGCACACTACAAACAAGTGAATAAAACATCGCACTCCCAGATGCGTGCAGAAAGCCTGTTACTCTAAGAGCACAAAGAGCAAGCCTTGCAAGTACAACCGGGAGAACCTTAAGTTACCACTCACAGTAATTTATTATTGTCAGCATTGACCAAAAAACTGCAACAGATTTTGCCCTGAAGCAAATGAAGGCAACTACTCACCCGACCTGTTAACACTGCACCTCAAACGAGGGGCAAATGAAACAACTGAACTCATCTGCATTTCTGTATTAACTAAGGTGCCTTCTATGAAAGATTGCCCTTCCCCTTTTTTAAATATGATACTGTCTTTAGAAAAGAGGGAAGTTTTTTTCATTTTTCTTGGAGGTCCCTGAAGTAAAACAAAAAAGTTTTTGAGTTTTTTTTAAGCTGCATTTGGTTTTGGTGTTTTCCCCCTCCCCTCTGCCCAAAGCCATTGCTTTTTGCTTGTTGTATTACAAATGTGACTTCTGGCTGTTGTTGCAAAGATATTTTAAAACTAGTGTTACCAACCAGTATGGGAGGAATTCCTACAATGAGGGTGGTGAAACACTGGAACAGGTTGCCCAGAGAGGTAGTGGAGGCCCCATCCCTGGAAACATTCAAGGCCAGGTTGGATGGGGCTCTGAGCAATCTGATCTAGTTAGCAGTGTCCCTGCTCACTGCAGGGGGGTTGGACTAGATGACCACTAGTGGTCCCTTCCAACCCTAAACATTCTATGATTCTATGATTCTAAACCAGGTATCATACAGGTAGTCCTGTTCCTGACGCACAATACCACACCACACTTCACACCACATGCTAGAAAGCAGCTCCCTCTTACATCATTTTGCCCCGATTCAGCACCAGAAGGACATGGAAGTGTTGGAGCGGGGCCAGAGGAGGGCCACAAAAATGCTCCGAGGGCTGGAGCCCGTCTGCTATGAGGACAGGCTGAGGGAGTTGGGCTTGTTCAGCCTGGAGAAGAGAAGGCTGCGGGGAGACCTGATTACAGCCTTTCAGTACCTAAAGGGGGCCCACAGGAAAGATGGGGAAAATCTTTTTAGTAGGGCCAGCTGTGTCAGGACAAGGGGTAATGGATTTAACCTAAAACAGGGTAGGTTTAGACTAGATATAAGGAAGAAATTCTTTCCAATGAGGGTGGTGAAACACTGGAACAGGTTGCCCAGAGAGGTGGTGGAGGCCCCATCCCTGGAAACATTCCAGGCCAGGTTGGACGGGGCTCTGAGCAACCTGATCTGGTTGGAGATGTCCCTACTCCTGCGGGGGGGTTGGACTAGATGACCTCTAGGGGTCCCTTCCCACCCAAAACATTCTATGATTCTATGATTCTTTTTGATGGGTCAGTTTAGCGTCAGAGGCACTATCGTGGTTAGTGAACACTGGGAACAGACAAGAAAAAGAGACAAATAATTTCATCAGCATCCAAACCTTATATCAAAATCATTAGAGCTCATGTTGGTGTATGTGAAACTGTAGGCCACCAGCCTTCTGTAGAAAGAATTTAAGTGTGGGCATAATTTTATTAATTTATCAGTATCTGCACTTCCTTAATTTACGTGTCATTAAAAATGACAACACTTTCACTGAGGTGCAGAGAGCAAATCTGAGATAAATGTACTGCCATGGAAATAGGCCAGTGAAGCTTATTTAAAAAAAAAAAAAAAATCTAGACTATATTTATTTTTTCCTACTGATTGGAACAACTGTGGAAAGAGCAAAGTATTTTTCATTGATAAAGTGCAACACAGGTCCCTGGATGATTACATCCTCAGCAGCTACTTGGAATTTGGAAATAAAAATCAGTCAAAACCACTTTCAGTGTAAGTCACAACATATAAACAAGTATTCCACAACAGATTTTCCATCCTTTCTACATCCCAGATGTCATTAGCAGTAAATTATTTCAGCATGGTCTGGATTATTATTCCAAAGCAGTACTTCTCTGTGGCCTTATCTATTCTAAGCAAGTAAACCACTTTGTTTGGCTTCCTGTATTTCCTGTAGCCAAGAAGGACAACAAGGGACTGCAGAAGAACGCAAGGACAGAGTCCTGTGCCAGGGTAGGGGCGCTCCCCGAGAGGATCCCTTCCCTAAACCTAAACGTACCAGTTCAACAGCCCAAAGTAATACACAGCAACTCCTACTACTGCAAGCAAGCACAGAAGTTGCTATAAACTCATCTTCCCGAGCCTTTCACATGTTTTATTGTGCTTGTTATGTGTCATCTTTCCAAAAAAGATCTGTATGGCATATGTTCCACAAGAGATTGCAGTGCAAATTTATAGCTACAACTCAGTGAACTTCCTGAAAAAGTGAGAAAGTACAAGGAGTGGAAAAATACAGCACGTAGTGGAAGAATACAGTGTACAAAGGGAGAGCGCTCTTAGATAAGCGCCCATAAAAATACAGGTGGGGTAATAAGGTCCTCAATTTAGAAGGAAAATCCTTAGGTTTAATATGCTGAAATTTCATTTATATCTAACAGCAACTGATCAAAAGCCCTCAATCTCCACTGGGGGACCAGAACAAGTGGACACGTACAAATGGCACAAGAAGGTGGTTAAATTTGAAAGACAACGCTCGTCAACAGCAGACCACCCACAACTCTTCCGCTTTCCCCAGTTTCTTGTTCTTGAAATTCTTCTTATCTGGGAAGACCCCAATGATTTCAGTGGAAGAACAGTAGCAAGGTGATTTCTGGAGCCTAGGATCGACTTTTCATATGCTTTTCTTAAAAATCCCAACCACCTTCATGTCATTCCATGGCTCTTTATGACTGAAGAGCATCACCCATCCTAGGGTTAAACTCCTCAAGCCTATCAGAAGAATAAACACTCTACCACCAATTTACCTGCTTGGGCAAAAACCGGATCCCTACAGCTACACTAGTACAGCCACAAACGTAGGAATTATTCATCAAACAGTAACCTATCTATAGGAATGTCGTGGCAACTCTCTGCCTCCCTTCATCACAAACAAGTTTACAGGAGAGTGCCAGCAGCTTATCATAAATTACTCAAGACCTATCTTCGGAAAATCTGCAATGTCACATTTCTTAGGCCCCTTTAAAAAACATTTGCAGTTAATAAATCTGCAGCCTTTAGTCTCCTTTTCCTCCTAAAGCAGCCCAATGCACTGCACTTGCTCTTTCCAAGAATGGCCAATTAAGACCTTTAAAAAGAGTCACTATCAAATGGAGTCAGTATGAAATTTAGAAAAAACGCTTTATGTCAGAAGTTCCATGCTTGCCATCTATCCCTAAGCATTTCTGCCAAGTGTTAGTGTTTATTATAAAAGCGCAACAGTGCGAGGAGAGCATTTATCGCCTTGTGTAATGGAAGAGCTATAAGATCACCAGGAAGATTCCACAAATTGAGGGTACAGAAAAGAAATTCACTATGCAAGGTTTGTCCATTACATAGAAGAGAACACAAGGAAAATAAAATTCAGAGTTACAATGGTGAGCATTGCTTGCTGTTAGAGATACCTCTTTAAAATTAAATTTTCATACTGAACGTTCCCTTTTTTTGGGCCACTATTCAGCTGAGCACTTGAGTACATGTTTGGAGCCCATTTATGTGCGTATGTCCCAATCACCTCCTTAAACACTCTGCTCAGCTAGAACTTGAGAAATCATTATGATGCTTCTTTTTTAGAGCGTCTGTTAACACATCACCAGTGACAAACAGCTATCAAACAGATACTCAACTATCTCAAAAGATGGAACAATCTTTAGAAGTAAAAGATCACCGAGAAGAACTCTCCCAAGCTGTCCTGCTCTTTCGTTGCATTTTCTTTTCTTTTTATAGAAAAACTTCGCATGCTTCCTGCAGGAAACAATAAAATATCACGGTGGTACATAATATTTCTTGAGTCGTCACCTATAAAAACGAGAGGCAGAGTCTAACGTTTCTAAAAAGAACGCTCATCGTAAGCCTGCATCAGAAGCACTAAATAAAGACGAGGGTCTGACGAAAGAATTGTTTGCACGAGTGCTAGGAACAGTTTGTCTTTCTCAGTCCTTAAGGTTTAGTAGAAGGATAGTATCTTCTCATAATCTTTGTTCTGTTCTTCTAAGTCAGCACATCGCTAGCTTTGCTCTATAAATGCAAGAGGTATTTTACAGAACAGTTTCCATTAAATTTATAGTAGATTATTTTGTCAGCAATAAAACTGGCTGCATTTATTTTTCAGTTAAATAGTTTTTTCAACAATCTGTATTTTTCAGTGACATATTGTTTTGCCTGGAGGGAAAACACACATTTATCTTAAGTATAACAAAAAAACCCGGCCACCTTCATTCTGCAAATTCAAAACCATTTTTTTATGTCAAATTAAAGCCACCGTAAAGCAAAAATATTTTCAAGATCAAAGCAGTAAGTGTTGTGGTTGACCTAAAGCAATTTCTTGGAATCTTGGTTTGCAAAACTACTATTAATTTTTTCTTACTTTAAATTGGGATAAAACAATTCACAGCTGACGCTGAATCACATAAAGGTAAAATACTTGGTTCCAGTCTGTAACAAGTTAATGTTAGGGACAAAGCTGTGATCTAACAAAATCTAAAAGTTGGGGAAAAAAAAAAAAAATTGCTTCAGGGCCTCTAGTTTTTGATGGGTAGACTGAAGCAAAAGTGGTTTTGTGGGTTTTTTTTTTCCTTTTTAAAAATTGTCTGAATTTCTATAAATAAAATGGTTAAAATACTTTTCTTTTTTTCAGGCTCCCCAGTCAAAGATTACATCACTACGTGAATAACCGAGAAGCTTAGTCAGATGCTTTTTGGAAGCTGATGTCTGTATTTCCAACACTGTTCATGCCCAAGAATTTATAAACACGAAACACAAACACAGGCTACTCTTCAAACATTGGTTTTCATTCTTGCTGATTCAAGGCTTTTAATTCAAACAAACAAACCAACCTCTACTGCTTTTCCTGGAAGGCAGGCAGTCTACAAAGGTGGATCAGGGGGGAAGGAAGATATATTGCTAAAGCTAAGGGCATTTATCTGAAACACCAAATTTAGGCCAGATTATGACTGTATTTTCAAATGCAAATTTTCTACATTCTCCTCAGAAACTGCCCCAACCTGTAGCTCTGCCGAATGATCCAGTTTCTCGTCCACCAACTCCGAGTTCTCTGTCCCGCATACGTGAATACATCATCCATCCACTACTCATGTTATGCTAACATCTCCACATTTTTCCAGCCTGTTATTTTGTTCCAAATACTCTCTGTGAATAATGCCCTATCTTGGGACACAAGGACAGCCCCTACAACTCATGGCATAATTAGACTGGACACCAGTTGAGTGCTGAAAATGGATATTTAAAGTCAAACTGAAGGTAATATACACCTGCTTAGACAAATCCCTATTTGGATATACTATATGTTAATATACGAACTAGGAATGTTCCAAAGGAGATATGCAAAACACGACAGCAATTCAATGTCAAGTTTTCACAGAAAGAGAGCTGCAAGAGACTGAAAGCTCATCAAGTCTATATCCCTGCCCCAAATCAGCATTAACTACTCTTAGATTATTCTTTACTGACACGTGCTCAAGCTCTTCTTAAAAACATACTATGATTAACACTCCATACTCTTCCTTTCATCATCCTTACTGTTAAGGAGTTTCTTTTCTAATACGACTCCTCCGCGCACTTGAAGCCCGTTACCTTCGATACAGTCGACACAAAGGAGGAACGATTTACTCCCTCCTTCCCTGAAGCATCCTTTCAAAAATAAATATCGCGCTTCTTTGTAAACATTTCAGAACACATGGGAAGTAAGAACACAAACACTGGTATCACCGTAGATGATATCGCATCGTACAGCAAACTCCTTCCAGAGAAGGAGGAGTTTACAAGGCACTGTCAGCACATGCATAATTTGTGAAAAGCAGAACTCATTAAGCCAATTAAGAATCATGAGCTGCGTCAACTTCCTCGCCACAGTAACACCAATGCTCCCATTGCATCATCACTGGCCACATCTCCATCCTTAACACCTTCCTTCAGAACACCTTCAGTTCCACACCCCAACCACCCCCACCTTGCCCAAGATATCTAACTATTGCCTGGGGAAAAACAAAAACCCCCCAAACCCACGTGCCGTGGCTGGTCCTAAAACACATGTAGGAACTGACTAAGCTGGAACAAGCATCTCCACTAAACAGAGCTCTCATTAGTTTGCATCCCCCTCTCCCTGTCTAGCCACAGATCTTCAAAAATATTTCAGGAATACAATTCATCATTTTAAGATCGCAAGCAAGACACTTAGCCCCCACTTCAAAAATTTTCCCCAGAGGAGCTGGTTTGTCTCTTTTGTACCTTGGCTAGTATAGACTTCTTGGCGCTCCGAAGCAGCTCTGCCTTTATTTCCTCTATTCTTTGTTGGTCCTCTTCATTGGTCCTCAGAGATTCCTGAGATTGGCTGGCCAGTTTTAGTTTCACCCATGCTACATAAAGAACATAGAAGAGAAAGCAGTTCCCTTTCCATTTCTCACATCGTGTATGATAACAGTTTTATAACTTAAAATCAAAACTTTGCTATGCATTTCTAGCTACCATGACTGAGGGAATAAAGACTGCTATCAAATACCAGAGCTGACTGACTGACCAGGAATACAATTTAAAAAGGGTCTTTTGAACCTTTCTTTGGAAAGATGGATCCAGGACCCACTGCCTGGTTCTGTCATCTTTACAGTCA